TTATATTACAGACAACTTTTGTTTAAACAATTTTTATAAAAAAATATTTTTTAACGTTTTGTCAAATTTCTCGAATACGGACCATTTTAGGAAAATTTTGTATAAAATAAAAATTATAGATAATATTATAAGAAGTAACTTTTATTTGAAGAATTTTCTTCCCCAAACGTAAATAACAGATATATTCCATAAAATATAAAAATTATTACCTATGAAGTACCCCTCCAGATGTTCCGACTCTGCCCAAAATCTAATCAGCTCAGTGAACGCTGGAATAAAGCTTAAGTTTAAAATTTGGTGTTTTTCTGTGTATCGGTTCATGAGTTATGCGACACACAGACACACACACATACAGACACACACACACACACACACACACAGACACAAACACACACACAGACATCATCGCGAAAATAGTCAAAACGGATTCAGGGGACCTCAAAACGTAAAAATCCGTCGAAAACTCGAGGTCGAAAAAAAATCATGATTCCTATACTTTCCTTACCTATATCTGTATACAGATAGGAAAGTAAAAATAAGACATATCGGGATTTATAATATGGATCGGCATCACTGCAATATATCCGTCGAGTGCACAAAATGAGATCACCTGCGATTCAGTAGCAGAAGCTTCTTAGTCCAGTCATTTAAGCTTAAATTAGGTAAGAATCTCGGAATTTGAGATACCCAGCTGTAAGTCTGTAAATACTTGTATATTGACACTATAAAAGTTGTCTCAAAACCTACATATGGTAGGGTGTACGCAACTAATAAATTTCAAGGTCAAAGGTCACAAAAATCGGTTTTTTGCGTTTTTTTTGTAAATATCTCATTTCCTATGGGTTTTTTACTATTTGTATTTATTATCAATATTGTAGAATACAAAATTCTCTACAAATTTTGTTTAAAAAAATTCAGACTACAGTAAGAACGTAAAAGCTATGGAGCAGCAGAGAAGAACTGCTGCACTTTCAAAAACGTATGAAGTCTGTTTCGATGAAACAATGGTTGTACCAGTTACTCAAGAAAAATTCTTATCAAATCGAAATAACAACGATATGCTCATTAATATGTTAATTGAAAAATTACAAGCTGAAAATATTACCAGGTATGGGGTTGGGCAATGCGAAACGATTTTATGGAGCCTATCATAACAATTTTACCACCTGCTCCAGAAGATTTGCTAAATACAATTTTCTGCAACTGCAAGAGTGGTTGTGGTTCACGATGCGGATGGAAAGCGGGCTTGCAATAGGCCTTTTCATTACAATTTTTTTTTCGTGCGCATGCGTCAGTATCAGCCATCTTTTTCGTACTGTTTTTTTGTAAACAAGCATGTTAAAATGTCCACGTGAAAAAAATTATAATCGATAAATATTAATTTTAAGTGTATTCGTTTAAAAAATTGATTAAAAAAAGTAAAGTAATAAGTGTCTTAATTGAAAAATCAATTTTTATAATCAATTAATTATCTTTACGGAAAGGAAAAACTAAACAGTATTGTTATGAGTATGTAAAAGTGACACACGGTTTAAATCATTATTTTATAAAAAAACATGCCTGCAGTATCATAAAAAAATTATCAAATCATTAGGCAAAATACATATTAAAATATATTCAAAATGATGATTAGGTATGAGTGAAAAAATGTGGTTGAAGCGATAAAGGTTTTCGATCGATTGATGGATAATGTTACTAAAGATACTTACATTTCTTCACTACCTTTTCATGGAAAAAATGGTTCAACAGAAGAAAACCCTTGTCTGGTATTACACAATATTTTTTAATATTAAATACTACTTCGGTATACACAGTAATATTATTAAAAATTACATGTTGATCCTTAAAATTTTAAATAATTTATCTTGTTACTTATACTCGTGATTAACTTTCATGTTAAAGTGTTTTTGCAATTATTAATAGTTGGTTGGCATAATTAATTAGAATAGAGTTATAATTATTATTTGTTTTCATTAATTTTTTATACAGTTATTGAATGTATTGAAACCTAACCTCTCAATCACCACACTTTTTTTCTTGTTCCGAAAGTCCACGTCACTTCAAGAACCTTTTTAATTGCTCACAACTATGTGCTTCTACAGAGTTATAAAAATTTTAATCACCATCAACGATTTTTTCTAATGATTGATTTGTATGTAGAGATAATATTGCTTTTCCATTGTTGATCAAAACAGTACGAAACTTTTGAATTGGCGCTATTTGAACATGCCGGCTGCGCTTGCGCTCATCACATGATGAAAAGGCCTATGCTCTTTAGCTTGTGGCCAATGTAATGGGCAAGCTTGTCTCAATGCTCTACCGTATCAGAGCGACATTAACGAAGATGGAACCTTTGACCCCGAAATCATGGAAGAACTTGAAACAAATATCGTTGAAGACGATAATGAAGACCAGTTTGAAATTTACCAGCAGCCGGAAGACGACGATGAAGAGGAAGATGATTAAAATTATAAATTGTAGTTTTTGTACCCTTTATTCCATTTTTTACTTTTAATAAAAATAAATGTATTGAATGATATTTTTTAATAAAAAGATTAATTCATAATTTATTTGTTTTTTTTTTTCATCATGTAAGAAGTTATTAATATTAATTAGGATAAAATTCAAATATAATTCCTATATTTTCATTAACAATTCTGCAATTACATGGGCAGGTAAGTGTTGTTAAATAAATTAATACTGAATAAAAAGTGGATAGGTTAGGAAAAAAATTATAAAATATAATAGTTAATAAAAATTGACAAATATTTATAATCATTGATTTATCGATAGCTCATCAACTATATATGGCGCGTTTTCGACCGGAGGCACCGGTCGACCTGAAGTGATGCTGTGACCGCGAGCTCTCCGACCTCTATCTCGAAAACGGTTCACCGTATGAAAATTTTTTTTAAAAACAAAATTTGTAGAGAATTTTGCAGAATTGTTAATAAAAATATAGGAAATATATTTAAATTTTATTCTTATTAATATTAATAACTTCTTACATGATGAAAAAAAAAAACAAATAAATTATGAATTAATCTTTTTATTAAAAAATATCATTCAATACATTTATTTTTATTAAAAGTAAAAAAATGGAATAAAAGGTACAAAAACTACAATTTATAATTTTAATCATCTTCCTCTTCATCGTCGTCTTCCGGCTGCTGGTAAATTTCAAACTGGTCTTCATTATCGTCTTCAACGACATTTGTTTCAAGTTCTTCCATGATTTCGGGGTCAAAGGTTCCATCTTCGTTAATGTCGCTCTGATATGGTAGAGCATTGAGACAAGCTTGCCCATTACATTGGCCACAAGCTAAAGAGCATTGCAAGCCCGCTTTCCTGGATCCGCATCGCGAACCACAACCACTCTTGCAGTTGCAGAAAATTGTATTTAGCAAATCTTTTGGAGCAGGTGGTAAAATTGTCATGATAGGCTCCAGAAAATCGTTTCGCATTGCCCAACCCCATACCTGGTAATATTTGCAGCTTGTAATTTTTCAATTAACATATTAATGAGCATATCTTTGTTATTTCGATTTGATGAGAATTTTTCTTGTGTAACTGGTACAACCATTGTTTCATCGAAACAGACTTCATACGTTTTTGAAAGTGCAGCAGTTCTTCTTTGCTGCTCCATAGCTTTTACGTTCTTACTGTAGTCTGAATTTTCTTAAACAAAATTTGTAGAGCAAAAAAACCGATTTTTGTGACCTTTGACCTTGAAATTTAATAGTTGCGCACACCCTACCATATGTAGGTTTTGAGACAACTTTTAGGGTGTCAATATACAAGTATTTACAGACTTACAGCTGGGTATCTCGAATTCCGAGGTGAACTTACTATAATGACTGGACTATCTGTCCAAATTAGGGAAAATAGTTTTGAGAACGTTTTTGGTTTATCGCTGTTATTACCGGTTCGAATATAAAATATGTAACGGCTCCCGATCGCCGAGGAGGTTGTTTTAAACTGCCGCCTTAAGTGCAGATGTAAAATTAATCGCTAAAAAAAAGTAATATGTGAATGGCAAAATTAGTGGAAAAAGTTTGCGATAAGTGCTACGTCAAATCAAATCGTCAGTTCAACCTTGGCGCAAAATAAATATGAAATGTTCATTATTCGTCACATTAACGGTTACGTCTAGGCCATACCAAAATAACACACAGTTACCTAAATTCCAAGGCAACCCAACCAGTTTGTGATTTGTGTAATACTGACCTGACCATATTTTATTAAACTGTCTCAAATACATATATAATTAATAGCTAATAACCCTACAGGTTGATGTTTAATAAAAATGAAAATAAATAAAAAATGTGCAACAATATAATAAAAAACTTATAACGGTTCCAAAAGTATTCAATAAAACCACAAAATCTAAATAATAATTTATTAAATATAGGAAACTAGTTACTACTTTTCCACATTGATCGAATTATGACAGATTTTGTACTTCTATTGATTAATAAAATCTAATTATATTAAATATTAAATATATTTTACCACGCTCGTGTTTACATATTTTGGATAAAATAAAAATCATAACAAAAAGTGAAATAGTCGTGCGGTATGTCGAAAGAAATATTGATTATTAAATTCGGTCAACTTCAGTTTTATTTATTGTATTAATAAGGTTAGTTTTTAATTGCTATCTATGTTCCAGTAAACAATATTTTGGGATTGATAAATTCGGAATTCTTTTTTGTTGATACTCATAAAAGTTCGAAACATACTTCTAGTATCTTTTTCTTCGATTAAAAAGTTTTACAGAAATACCCATTAATATCTGATTGTTAAATGTTTTCCTAGAAACGATACGATGATAAGTTATTATTCTAATAATAACGATCATTATGTACTAATTATTTAACAATAACGATGATATTAATTCCTACTTAAGTAAATCTCTTTACAAGAACGTTATATTTGCCTAAATTCTTATTATTAATAGTGTAATATGTGTCGTTGATTTGTCGATATAACAAGTAACAATGTCGTGTAACGGGGATGTAGCTGAACGTGTGAAAAGAGAAGAAAACAAAGTATCAAGTTTAGTGAAAAAGTTTAAACAAATAAAAGATGTAATAACAGTGGAACCATTAATCGGACTATACCAATTTGCGATTTTTATATCAAGACCAGCATTAGAAAATTTAGAACTGGAAAAAGCATGTAGGGTGAATTTAAACTACAACGATACCGTTTGTGATTCCATACTTTCAGGACATCATAAAAACTATTCAATTGAAAATAATAACATACAAATAATAATAAGTAAAATGCATTCATGGCAACAACCAATAACGAGTTTTTTTCCACTATTACTAATTCTGTTCTTAGGATCATACAGTGACAGACACAAGTGGAGAAAACCTTTTTTTATTATTCCTCTTATTGGTGATATTTTAGGATACTTAGGAAATATTTTGTCAGTCACTTACATGCGTACTTGGCCTCTTGAAGTACAGGGAGTTTTTCAAAAAATAGTCCCGTCAATTTTCGGCACCCAACCAATGGTTGTTATGTCTACGACTGCATACATTGCTGATGTTAGCACTAAAGAAGATAGAACTTTAAGAATAGGTCTAGCAACTTTGGTTATCAACTTAACAATTCCTGTGGCACAGGCAATTTCTGGGATATTATTTAATAAAATTGGATATTATGGTGTTTTAAGTATTTCGTCTATCATATTGGCGATCGCGTTTGTGTATGGTGTATTTTGTGTGAAGGAAACGTCTTGTTTTAAAGAAAAAAAGAAGACTTGTGTTATTTCTGATGTGTTCAATCCTAGTGACGCGTTAAGTACGTTGGGAATTGTGTTTAAGAAAACTCCGAATTTGACTAGGCTACATTTGCTACTGACTATGGCTATTTTGCAGAGATGTGCTTCAGATGGTAAAAAAATATTTATTTATATACTTTAATTAATATAACTACAATGTCACTGACTTCCTTTACTTTAAATCCTTAACTTTCAATAGATTATGATATCTAGAATAATAATCCACACTTAATTTTTCTTTTTAATTCGATATTTAAATGTTGGTAACATTGTATTCTATAAGATACACTGCTTGGTAAACGACTCAGTAGATCGTATATACAGGGTGATCCATTAGTGTGAAAAAGTCCAATATCTCCGCCATTATTAGAGATATAAAAAAATATTTTCACAAAACGGTAGAAAGCGTTAAACTTCATATTTTAAAATTATATTTGAATATACAGGGTGTTTAATAACTTCTCTCAGGAACCAACTTATGTTCTTTATAATGGATCACCCTGTATTTTATTTTATATTTGAATTACCCTCGCTTTTCCCATTCTAAAGCTATAAATTATTATTGGTTTATACAGGGTATTTTGCAGGATATAATCAGTTTTGTATGAAAATCGTATTGAATTCAATGACCTATATCATGCAAAAGAAACAATTGACAACCAATTTTTTTTCTACCACAATTTTTAAATCATGGTCAAATTTTATCCAGAGACACTACTTTTTTCAATTCGCATCAAATCTGTACAGGGTGAGTCAAAACACAAATACATAATTTTCTCAATTTTTTTAAATGGTTCACCCTGTATTTTATATCATTGCTCAAAAGTATCCTAATTATACTTTAATTTGACTTAAGTATTTCCTATACCAAAAGTTAATAGTTTTTAAAGATTTTTAAATTTTAGTGGTAAAAACGATAATTCAGAAAATAATTGATTGGAAATACATTTTATTTATCATTAGTAATTAATTGAATTTAACCTGAAGTAATTATTTATTATAAGTAATTTTCTGACAATATGTAATGTCACTTATTAGAAAAAGAAATAAACATTGCAACCACAAACTACAAATGCAATTAGGGTGAGATTACAGAACGTCTGCAACTTTGCAGATCTGCAAATATGGTGGCAACTCTGCAGATCTGCAAATATGGAGGACATACATATGCATGTATTAAATTTTCGTATTCCAAAAAAGATCTGCAAATTCGCAATATTTATTGTGGTTCATCACCCCCAACAACACTAAATCCAAATCCATTACTATGTTTAAAAACTCGATAATCTGACACCATGAACTGTATTCAATCAAAAGAAATAGAAGACTTCATGATTGTAGGATGTTCTAACCTTCTTAAGGGTGGATTTGGATTTAGTGTTGTCAGAGGTAATAAATATTGCGAATTTGCAGATATTTTTTGGATACTTGCATCTGTAAGTCCGCCATATTTGCAGATCTGCAAAGTTGCAGACGTTCTGTAATCTCATCCTTAGTTTTTTTGTTTAATTTTTTTTTAAGTTGGCTTTGAAAACCCCCAATACTGACAGTTTGTTATTATTAATGTCATTAGTGTTGCATTATTTGTTTTCTACAATGTCTCGCCAGTTTTTTAATATGAATTATAGTCGTGAAGAATTAGTTGATATGGTATGGATTTTGGGAGAATGCAATAAAAACTCTTTGTTAGCAACTAGAGTTTATAAAGAACGATTTCTAAGGCGTAGAACGCCAATAAAACATCGTTCGAAAAACTGATGGATTGATTTAACCGAACAGAGTTAGTTTCATATGAGAAAATTGATAGAACAAAAATTGTTACTAAAGAGGAAAATGAACTAAATGATATTTTGTTAGCAGTTACCGAAAATCCGCATACAAGTATAAGAAATATTTCAAGAGAACAGGAAATAAGTTATACGTCAGTACAAAGAATACTTTCCAAAAATAAAATGCATCCTTATCATATCATATCACATCAAGAACTCACTATTATGGAATTTGAACACAGGGTAACTTTTTGTGATTGGTCACAACAAAAAATTACTAAACCATGATATTTTTTTGAGTACGTTCTTTTTGGAGAAGAGGCAACTTTTCATTGAAATGGCTGTGTCAATAGGCACAACTTTCATTATTATTCCACTTCTAATCCATGCCATATAATTACTCACAGTCAGGAAAGGTGGTCTTTAAATATTTGGGGTGGCACTATCGGTGAGTACGTGATAGGACCCCATTTTTTTAACGAAACTGTAAATGGGGAATTGTATTTAGACTTTCTAGTAAATTCTTTACCAATATTGCTTGAAGATCTTCCTCTTGAAGTACGCAGAAAAATGTGGTATTTACATGATGGTGCTCCTGCTCACAATAACGCTCTTGTAAATGGTGAACTTGCAGATTAATCTCCAGGAAGATAGATAGGAAGAGACGGGCCATTCCGTTGGCCAGCCCGGTCACCAGATTTAACTAAAATGGAATTTTTTTTCTGGGGCTACGTTAAGGTTTGTAGCAAAATGTAGTTAGTTACTGGGTTACCAAAAATTAATCATATCCACGTCAACCAATAAATAATCAAAGTTGAACTAAAACCCTGTGGGGAATTTTGAATTTTTTGATTTATTACATATATTCCCAGACAACACACCAAATCCCAGAGATATCCACAGAATATATTTTGTGGATATCCAATATATCCACAGGATATCAGAAATATTCCGTGGAACTAATATAGATATCCAAATGTCCGTCTATATCCAGAATATAGAAGATATCCTATGGATATTCAGCAAAATATCTAATGAGTATCTCCAGAAAATACAAGAAATCCCAGATATATCCATAGAATATATTTTGTGTATATTCAACCAAATGTCCGGTCTATATCCCAGGATATAGAAATTCAGATAAATATTTTATAATTATTTTTAGTAGAGGTTCATAAATAACCAATGGTTATTGAATAACGTCGAAAGAAAATAGAGGTAAAAAATATTCCCAACAATCTGCCTTTGATTTTGCCTACTAAGGAGAAAATCATCCTTATTAGGAATCTTCAGCAATAAATGGAACTTCTCGACTTCAGTCTCTAATGAAGTCTGTTTGTGAAACAATGTCGATCAAACTCAATGACGGCGGGTTAAGCATGAGTAGTTACGAAAGTGGTATCGCCATCTATACTTAGGAAGCAAAATCAAAAATTACATCTAGTAGATATCCACGATGGTTTGCGTCCGCGCTTAGACTTTGATATATTTATATTTATAGTGGATGTCCATGGGATATTGAATACACCTTAAAAAAAATTAATTTTAAATATCTCAACGGTACTATTAGCCACAATGGCGAGTACAATGGCGTAATTTTTTAATAATTTGCTATATAATTACAATTATTTATGGACATTTGCATGTCTATAAATTACATTTCATGGATATAAAATAGATATCCACCATGGACTGGACATTCAGTGGATATTGGGATGTTCAGTAGATATCCAAAGGATTTGGTGTGCTGTCTGGGTTCATTGTCCCTGGTTTAGGTATGTATTTTAAATTATTGTATAATGTGTTTTGTATTCATATGTATGTTTTTTAGTTTAATAAATTCGTCAACACACTAACCTGGGTTTAAAATTTCCATAAACGCTCTAAGATCGATAGTCTCCGAACCCCTTATCTTGTTACAGGTTCTAGTGTATAAAATACCTCCAACTACAGTAGATGATATGAAAATACGAGTAAGAGAAGCATTTCAAAGTGTTACTGTGAAAACGCTTAGAAATGTGAGTAGGAACTTTGAAAACCGTCTTTAGGCCTGCATAAATATTATGGGAGGCCACTTTGAACAATTGTTCTAATTAAATATAATTAGCAAAAATTACATTTAAATATTAAAGTATGAATTTGTGCTATATATTAATATTTTTTCTTTCTTAATGTAAAAATTGATAATAAATTAGAGCTGGTTTAAATTGTAATAATTACTAATTATCAAACACAATGTATTTTCTATCAATTAGTTTCTGAATTGTCGTTTTTACCACTAAAATTTAAAAATCTCTAAAACCTATTAACTTTTGGTATAAGGAATGCTTAGGTCAAATTAAAGTATAACTAGGACACTTTTAAAAGATGATATAAAATACAGGGTGAACCATTTAAAAAAAAATTGAGAAAATTATGTATTTGTGTTTTGACTGACCCTGTACAGATTTGATGCGAATTGAAAAAAGTAGTATCAACGGATAAAATTTGACTATCATTGAAAAATTGTGGTAGAAAAAAAATTGGTTATCAATGGCTTCTTTTGCATGATATAGATCATTGAATTCAATACGATTTTCATACAAAACTAATTATATCTTGCAAAATACCCTGTATAAACCAATAATAATTTATATTTTTAGAATGGAAAAATCAAGGGCAATTCAAATATAAAATAAAATACAGGGTGATCCATAAAAAAGAACATAAGTTGGCTCCAGAGGGAAGTTATTAAACACCCTGTATTTTTAAAAATAATTTTAAAATATGTAGTTTAACGCTGTCTACCATTCTGTGAAATTTTTTTTTATATCTCTAATAATGGCGGAGATATTGGAATTTTCACACTAACGGATCACCCTGTATACAGCATCCTATACGATACATCGCTAGGTTTTTACTAATTAAATTTAATATGTATAATGATACACTGCTAAGATCCAATTGTTTGCATAATTATAATTTGCACCATTACAACTTATAGCGACCAATAAGGTACAAATGTTTACAAGATGATTTAAAAAATCTATATAAAAACTTACAGGCTGATTAAAGACAACATATCAACATATTTTTTTCTTTGAACAAATTACAGAAGAGAAAATCAAAATATATATTTTTTTATAGAAATCGTAATAGTCCAGGATCCGTAAGTAAGGTCGACCTTCACCCATCTGTTTAATGGATAAAAGTTTTGTTTTATTAAATAAAATATGTTTTTAAATAAACCGCAAATGGATTGCCTAAGAAAATTCGGCCACGGTCATTTTTTACTTTCCTATCTGTCTACAGATAAAGAAAGTATATGAATCATGATAAAAGTTGCTTATGATGTCATTCTCTATTATTTTGTTCCTATACATGATTTCCCTAAAATGGACCTAATTTGAGATATTTGAGGAAAAGTGCAAATTTCGAATTTTGAAAATAACTCAAAAACGGATGAAGAGAAAACACCAAATCTTAAAATTCTGTGGTGAACTAATTAAAGTTTGGGCATAGCCGAGGTATCTGGGGAATACTTTACAGGGTATCATTTTTTTACTTCAAGAAAATAGTATGGACCGTATTTTCTTAGGCAACCCATTTGCGGTACATTTATAAACACATTTTATTTAATGAAAAGAAACTTTCATCTATTAAACAGATGGGTGAAAGTTGATCTTACTTCGGATCTTAGACCAAAAACAGTTTCTTGATGCCACCAAACACATAATACTGTAGTTTGTCTCTTTGAGCAATTTCTACATCGCCCTTTACTAGTAGACGTTGATAAATGGCCTAAAATATCTTTTCTCATTTCTTCTGGTGGAAGATCTTTAATATGAATACGAATTTTATATTTTGGAAAATTATTTAGTTATGCTGATGCTCTTCTCTTGCTAACCCACAACCCACAGCTTTCTTAAACGAACAAAAACTTAAAGCTAATTATCTCAGTTTGTAACTATTGAGGGTAGGTAGCTTTCTGCTTAATGCTGTCCAATTGAAATCGACACGAATTAATAAATCAAAATTTTGTAGTAGTTTAAAGCACAGCTGCTCAAACAAAATATGTGATTTTAAAAAATCTGCAGTTAAAAGATATGGAGAACTTTATAGAATTTTTTCTGTGTCGCCCGGTTTTGTGGAACGTAACAATGGGTTACCCTTATTTTAATCCCTTTTTAGACTCTGATAAGCGCACGGTTGGATAAATTAGGGGTTATTTGTTTGTATTGTTATTTTTTGTTACAATTTTATCACTATATTCACTTGATGAGTCATTATTTACTGATACTATTAAAGATGGAACTGTAGTATCTACATCCAAGATTTTGTCTAGATTCCATATGTTTACTTCTTTGTTTAACAAATGCTCGATTGCCTTTTGTCAATTTTCCTTTGTAAAAAGTGATATGGAAGTTTCTAACAATGCTTTTACATCTTTTAACTTAAATGACGTATTATGTCGACCTACATATCTTTTAACTTGTGCTCATATTAGTTCAATAAGATTTAGTTTGCAGTGATATGGAGAAAGACGCACAACATCAATACCATGTGTTTTTGCAATTGTATCCACTGCAAAACGTACTGGAGGCTTATTTAGTTTCACAATTTCTAATAGTTCTATTATTATTGAATTTTCTGGAAGGTTAATGTTTCTGTCTGTTAGCCACTTAATGATATCATTTTTCTTTCATGAAGTATTTGGCACACGTTCAATTAGACGGGAGTGGTAACAAGCGTTATCTATTACTATAACTGAACCCTTTGCTAAATGTTTTATCATCTGCTGAAAATATTCTTAAAAAACATCAGCGTTCATATGTTCATGGTAGTCTCCGGTTTTTTTTAGATTGAAATATTAAAGAAACATGTTTTGAAAACTCGTCATCACTTCCAATATGAGTTATAATGAGACGTCGTCCTTTACCGGAAGGAACCTTCAATCCTGTAGGTAATCCTTCGTGACGATTGAATGTTTGTGTCCTGCTAAATTTTGCTAACTGTGTAATCTTCATTCACCCAACTTTAATTATATTATTAAAAGTTTTAAAAATAATATTTTTTCAGGTGAGGATAACATGACGTTTCTTTATGTGCAGAATATATTTCAGTGGACACCAGTAGATTACAGCTATTTCCGTACAGCACAGAGTATCACAACTCTTCTTGGTAAGTGAACGGATTTTGTTTAACTTGTAATCATGTGATCGTAGAAAAAATCTTGTGTGTAAGTCGAGCAGAAAGTAGCACTTTCTGCTATTAATACACAAACAACTATTCTTTTGCCACGTATCCAAAATACTTTCTTGGAGGACAGCCGTCAATCTTGTTGAACATTATACAGTGTGTCCATGGATGGGGTCCCCAAGGGGGAAAAAAATCTTTATTATTCATTAATATTCTATTTTAAAATATTGGAATTTTTATTTAAAAATTTGTATTTAGTCTCTATGCTAGTTTATAAACAACTTTGTTTTATAAAATTTTTGTTAAAAATAATAAATAATGGTACTTCCCTCTTGAAGCATTTTCATATTTTCCTAATTTATTAACACCCTGTACATTTAATCTAAAATTTTAATAAGGCAACTCCATTTTCTCAACAAGCAGAACTTTTTATAAAGAATGACTTTTGGTCGTAAAATGAATAATAAAGATTTTTTCCCCCTTGGGGACCCCATCCATGGACACACTGTATAAAATAATTTTATTTTTATATGCAGTAGAGGTTTAATTAAACATTTTTATACATATTTTTTATGGGTTAAGTACAAAAAAATGTATTTGAAATTCTTTAAAAATTACAATGTTTTTGATTTTTACTCAATTTTTGAAAAAAAAAAAAATTAAAGAACGCTTATTTACGATACGATTCAAAAGGTAAATTCAATATTCATTTTTGGAAAATCTAAAAACGCGTTAATTTTGTGAATTTTGCACTTTTCTACATAACATTTTTATATAAAAAGTTATGCGTGTAAATATAGTAATTTAACCGGTAGTTTTTTATATTACCAACTGCTATGTTTTAATAATTCATGTTCTGATCCTTTCATATAATTAACAACATAGTAATAATAAATTTTTATTTGAGAAAAAGCTAGCCTATGGTAAAACTCCAATAAAATAATACAAAAGTGGTACTTCTTATTATTCTACATTTTATACATTTATTACCATGTTGACAATTAAATAGAGAATGAGAATATTCTAAAGATAAAATCGTCACTTTTTTTACTTTAATCACTCTGTATATTCGACTTTTTTATCCAAAATTGCAGAATTAAAACACTAATTTTTTCAAGCATCAATATTTTCCATTTTATCGATTTTATGCCTTACTTTTCATTCGCACTGTAGTTTAAAACTCAAGTTTGTATCATTGTCTGCTTATTTCTTTTTTTGTATTTAAAAACATTTTTTTTTTTTATTTCTAGGTAATGTTTTAGGGCTGTGGATACTAGTCAAAATTTTAAAAATTAATGATCTCATAATACTCTTTATAACGGTATACACCAGATTATTTGCACAAGTTATTTTTGGCTTAGCAGCTACGTCCATGGTTTTTTATGCAGGTAAATATAATTATTTTTTAATGTAACAGACTAACAACTTTTATAATTAAAATTACTAATAATAACATAAATTATAACATAACTTTTTCGCACATCTGTTCACAACAAAACACCCCAAAAAAGTGCATTGCTACATCACCAAGTGAGAGTCTTCGCGCGTCAGTCTCACTTCCGGCATTTGTGACCATCCAGCTGCGCAGGGGTGCGAAATGCGCCCGCCACAAGCGTAGAACACTACCTTGCGTCAATCGCACTCCGCCCCTTCGACGCTAGATGGTGCTACGGGTACCGAATTACGTTTAATTGTTCTTTGGGGTCGTATCAGTTGGAACTTGAATTCAGGCCTGTAATTCAAATTCCAACAAAACCTAAACATCTAAAGGAAATAAAGTAGTCACAACGAAATAGGTATCACTTATCTTGTCCTATTCTGTAGGGATAATCGTAAAATTTGGCGGTCTTTTCGGAGCGTAGTTATTCTTTCTCGTGGTGTATATGGTCTTCTATGGATAATACCTATGTCTGGAAATCTATTCCACATTCAGTGAATCGTTGGTTGACTTGTTTGAAGCAAGCGGGCTACGTATCTCTGCAAACGTCCTTCTTGTAATAGTGTAACAGCTATTGGTACTTCAATTGCACTTAGATGCCTTCTTTGTACAATAGGCCTTCCAAGAACATCGTTATTCATAATTTTAAGTCAATTGTTAATGTTACAAACAATTTAATTGGTGTACAAAGTAAAACTGAATGTATCAGATACTTTTAATTTTTTGCGTATATATTTTTTTTCTCACCTCCTCATAAAAAAGTTTTGTTTTTTTATATTGAAAATATGGCTTTAGGTGTGCTTGTTATTTGTATAAATTTTAATGGAAAAAGATTTAGATAATTAATTCAGTGATACCTATTTCGTCGTGACTAGTTTATATCGAGCTGAAATAGTAAAGTGTTTATTTTTATTTGAACTAGCCTCTGTAATAACGAATTCATAGTATTTGTTTTCGTTAATACGAATTCAACGTAGGACTAATATCTATATTCGTACATTGTAAATCCCCAATTTTTTGTTCACTGGCCGCCAGTGCTCAATAAATAGTTACCTTGAGTGTCTTATGTTTATTTTATTTTTAGGAATTCTTCTAGTAGTAGTGACGAGGCTCAATAGGATAGCTAAACGTTCATACATAACGAAAATTGTTTCGGAAAATGATATTGGAAAAACCATTTCAATGCTGGGGATAGTTGAAGCCATAGCTCCCGTGGTAGCGGTACCTGTCTACAACTTAATATATCAACATACTTTGGAAAGTTTTCCCGCAATGATATTTTTCTTCAGCGTTTTGATCTACACCATTTGCTCTTTCATTATAGCGTAAGTACACTTATAGAAAATTAATTTTTTATGCTTATAAATAGGTGGGAAATCCAATCGTTACCGAAAAACTAAAAAACCAAAGTTTTAAAACCTAATTTAATATGAATAGTTTAAAAATGTTATTAGACTGTATTTCTCTCATATAAACAAACAAATCTAAGTAAAATAATAAAAATATTATGAATTACAAATAATACTGATTCTATTATCTAATAGTTGACACACTAATATACATAATAACATAAATATTATATAAAATTTCTCGGTTTTTAGGTTTATGTACTGGAACGATAGGAGAATACAGAAGAAAGAGGACAATCTTGATAAGGCAGGTCAAAATATTTCCACAATTGTTGAATCAACACATATTTGATTTTAGCTAATTAACTAAATTTTAAAGAATGCATATTTTATAATATATTATTAAAAAAAAAAAAATTAAATTATTGAATTGTGTGTTGGTTTTTTAAATATACCTAGTGATTGCCTACGTGAAATATCCTGAAATTTATGTATGTTGGTGTATTCAACCTCTTAATTAAAAGTGTCAATGGGGTCAACTAAATTCTATCACTAGTTTTCGAGATACAAGGGTGTTGAAAGTTGAAAATTACGCAGTTTTCGAAATTTTTATTTTCAAATTTACGAACTAGATTGAATTTTTGTTGAAAACACATATTACTACAATCGTACCTTTTTGATTTACCATTTTTCGATATTTTGAGAAATAACCTATAACTTATTGAAATTTTTTTGATAATATATCAAACTGCAGGTATGGATGCCACCTTTTTGAAAAGTGCAAAAAGGACTATGATGCCGATAGGGGCTCCGGTATACAAAAAGGGCTTCAAACCTTCTACTGAACTTCTAGTACTCGTTCTTCTGCAGAGTTTTAAAAAAAACAAAAAACAAAAAAAAAACAAAAAAAAACAAAACGAAAACAAAAAACATAAAAAAACAAAAAAAAACAAAAAAAAAACAAGAAAAAACGACAAAAAAACAAAAAGAAAACAAAAAACAAGAAAAAACGACAAAAAAATAAAAAACACAAAAAAAAACAAGAAAAAACGACAAAAAAACAAAAAAAAAAAAAAAAAAGAAAAAAACAAAAAAAAGTTTCTTAGCTTGTATATTTTTGATTAGATCGATGTGATTAGAAATCACACTGCATCTCCATTTTCAACAGATACTTATCCCTTAACACTATTGAACCCCATTAAAACACACTTATTAATCAATTTATTAATTTATTAAAATCCATTAAAGACAAATTACTTTACAATAATTTCATTGTCTCTAAGACTGACAAAGGAAATTGCTTAGTTATCATGAACAAAGAGAACTACATACTTAAAGTTTTAGAATTTCTTAACAATAATAATTTTATAACCTTGAACTCCAACCGTCTGCAAAAGTTCATAAACTTGTTTAAATCTACTCTCATCAAATATAAATACGTTTTTACTAAAAGGGACATTCTATTTTTGAATAATTTCATTTTAAAAAACCTTTATTTGCCTCGTTTGCATGGCCTGTCTAAAATATATAAATTAGAGATCCAAATGAGACCTGTAGTCACTTAATTCAACTCTCCTGTATTTTTCTTTGTTAAATTTTTCAATAACTTCCTTAACTCTTCTCTTAATTATATATCCAAATATACTGTTTTAAACTCAATTGATTTAGTTAACAAAATAAAAATCATAAATCTAAGTTCTGAAGCTAAGTTAGTTTCTTTTGATATTAGCAATTTATTCACCAACGTTCCCAGAGAGGAAACCTTTCCTATTATCAAGGATCTTCTTACTAAAAATAACTTCAACCTCCTTCATTCTATCAATATTATCTTGGATTTACTCAAAATCTGTCTTGACCAAGATTTCTTTATTTTTAATAAAACATTCTATAGACAACCCAATGGCTTAGCAATGGGTAATCCTCTAAGTCCTTTGTTATTGTTATTTCTAGATCACTTAGAAACCAAAAAAATTAACAACCGAACTTCACACTGGTACAGATATGTTGATGACATTTATGCAATTATGAATTGTAATTTTACTAAGGTTGATGACTTCTTATTTTTCAATAACAATATTCATCCTAAAATCAAATTTACAGTTGAGCTTGAAGTCAATAAATCACTTAATTTCCTAGACCTTTCTATCAGTCATCGGTATAATAAACTTGAATTTGATATCTACCGGAAACCTACTCAAACTGACCATCTAATTAATTTCCACTCTAATCACTCTTATCAACACAAGTTATCAGCCAATATACTTTATATTCATCGTCTTCTTAATATACCTTTAACCAATCATAATTTTAATAAAGAAATCAGCATTTTAAAACAATTAGCTTTTAATAATAACTACAATCCTTCCATTATTAACGTGGGTATCAATAAAGGCAAACTCAAGAAAAGGTCCCAACTTGCTTTTAATCCTACTAATGAAACCTCCTGCTAATTTTAAATATTTTTCACTACCATATCTCGGGAAAATTTCCAATGATGTTGCTGCAGATTTTAAGGATTGCAACAATATTAAAATTTCTTTTAAAAATGTTAATTCGATTAAAAGCTAACTTTCACATACTAAGGATGAAATCGAGTTGCTACACAATAGTGGTATCTATAAACTAAATTGTAACGATTGTAATGTCTTATATAGGAAAATCTGAGAGGAGACTCAACATACAAGCTGGTGAACACAGTTAAGTCTACTTTTGGACATCATATTTAATTCAACAATCATAACTTCACTCCTTCTGAGAATGTTACAGTTCTTCATAATATTTTTAATTGCAACTTTAAACTAAATTTCCTTGAAGATATAATAATTATATGATGAGAAAATAGAAAAAAAAGGAGTATAATTCCAAATTTTTGAATTTTTTTTTTTTTTCATTTTAGTGACAACATAGTTTAACTCATTTTTTGATTTATCATATTTATTAAGTCCAAAGGAATGTACTTTATATATTTTCAGTGGACTTTTTATTTAGGTAAATCAGGAGGGAAAATAATACTAGTAATACTGCTTAATTATTAAAAGAATTTGGTCTTATAATAAACAAAAATATTTTTAGTCTTCATTTTCGTTTTTTCCGTATTATAAATTCTTGTAATTATCATGAAATTTTTCTGGTACCTATTTGAGAAGTTCTTGTAAATGGCTATACTATTTAGATGAAATTGATTTAGGCGCCTCCCTAATCGGTGGAATCAATAAAGAAGTGTAGTCATTTAAATTGTTTCTTTCAAAAAATCTACTAAAAGCGTTTTTATTTTAGAGAATTTGAAATGAAATGGTTCATTTATACCCATCTAATTATATAAAATATCAATTCTGACTAGAATTTCTATAAAATTTCTTAATAGCTCGTTTACCTAGTTTTATATGCTAATAATGGGTGAGCAGATTGGAAACGGAATTACCTTCTATTAAACTAATTACTTATTAGGTACCTTATAGTTATTACTTAATTCATGTGGAGTTCGTAATTAATAGGTGCTTTCAGATATAATAATTATATAGATGTTTTTTCTCTTATTTTTTTAGAATTAAATTCAGAGACTTCACATTTTGTGGACATGATACCGATATAACAGAAAATGTTTAACTGATATGAGCAATATATCTTATAGATCAGAGTCCTAAGAAACATTTCCTAATTTCGTTTTATATGTAAGTGCATTTACTGCCTTTTATTGTTTTTTGTGATACATTATAAAAGATGATCTTAAAGGCTCTGGCAATAAATTTTAAATTTCCCTGATATTTTAAAGTATCACTAAGAAGGACATATTTTATATCAATAAAATTGTGCAAATTAAAAGACAAGAATTCAACTAGACAGACCTGTCATTTCCAAAAAGCCTTTCCATATTTCATTGACTGTATCGCTCTGTTCATCTATCTTTCAAAAAAACCGCAAAGAGACAAAGAAATATGCTCGAGATACTACAACTTAGAATCCAAATATTTTTCTCAATAGAAATGCATTTTCATCTGGAAGAGGGAATTTCTTGCAATGCATTATTGATTGATACTCACTTCTTTAGTTTTCCCCGTTCGCATTGCTACAAATCAAACATTTATCGAGATTTTTCGAGAAATAAAAGTAAAGTGGCTGTAAGCAATGACAGTTTCCAAGCTCCTGCAAGGAATTTTATTCAGATCAGACTTTGATTAAATTCTTCTGACACATTCTCTCTTTTCAAGCGGTTGGGTAAATGAAAACTTGACGATAATTTTTCCAATAAATGTATATTCTCATTTTGCTCCATTAATATTTATTAACAACAATTTATTACAAATTATATATACATTTTTTAGATACCGGTCTTCTGAATATTTTTAATTGGTTACTACTTTCTAAAATATTTTTAATATACCGGTGTCTACGTATTTATAATTAGTTACTACTCTTTAAAATATAATTAGAAAAAAAGAACAGTTCAAAGGTTTTTGTGAAGAGAAATATATAAAGATAAAGATGAAGGTTTTAGCTTCTTGAGTAAAAATTGCTGTGGACTAATTCAAAAACAGTTTTAACATGGTTAAAATCTGAAAATATGAAATTCAAAATATTTGTCGCACGCTGTATTGGAAAAATGATTGGCACTGAATTTCAACAAAAGAAAACTGATGAAGCTAGTCATGCTGCAACGTACAGTAAGTCTTAAATTCAAACATAATAGTTTTCCCCTATTTAATTGAGGGGTCTCCAAGTCACATTTGGAAAAATTGTGAGGACTTAGGAAAAACATTTTTGATGTAAAATTTTAGATACTGAACATTTTCGTATTTTGTTGTCTATTCAGATTATCCAGCTGCATTATTTTTTGAAAATATCAATTCGTAAATCAAAAAAAATAAACGAGCTATAAGGGTAAGAGCAAAGGACTTGATTTTTTAAAGGGGAAGAGAAAAACAAATTAAATTTTTATTTTCAAAATATAAGTTTTGGTTAATTTACTGAATGAAATAAACAAATAGATGGTTTAACTAAACTTTTGATGCAAACTTGAAATATTTTCATTTAATCATCATTGAATTCTGATGCGGAAGTTTCTTTATCATCTGGCGAAAAGTTCTGATGGTAGCCTCTGATATCTTCATAGAACCACTGATCACATTCTGGCATATAATTTTTCACTAGAGTCATTTTGTCTTTCACTATGTTACATAAGTAGGACATTTGAATTTACCGCTGAAATGTCCCTTGTCACTAATACAGTTCCGGCGGTATGTCAAATGTTACACTTGAGCAGACTCTGTATGGACCCTTGAAGCCTGAACAAATATATAAAGCGAGAGCACTACCAACTACCCGTTCCTGAGGATATTTTGTCAGAAATTTGCG